TGTGAATATATCCAAGGAATGTTGAGAAATTAAAGTCTTTGGGAAATTGAAGTCCCCCACATACCTGGAGAGTCCGTCAGTGACATTAACAAGAACCTCAGTGGCAACACCAGAGCCCAGAGGAGTGTTCTCAGCATGACCTGGGAATTCCTGTTTGCTCCTTCCACTAAAAAGAGAGTCAATCTGTTCCCTAAAGGAAAAGAAAGTTTGCTTTAAAAATATATACTTGTGGGAATTTATCATCTTCATTTTCATGAATTGAAGCAATTTCGGATGCAATTTGAAATTAGACTCAAATTTGCAAGGATCGCGAATCTTTAGAAGTGCATTTTATTGTCATTTATTCATTTTTTATTGAGTTTAATTGACAATAGGAAAAGTATATTGTTCCAGAATGAAGAATCAAGAATTCTGGTCTTTTGTTTCTAGAAACCAAATCGAATCCTTTTATCTCCCCATAAACTACGAACTCTGTCACAGGTAAGATTTTTCCCCCATCTTAGATTTGCAAAAATCTAATATTGAGATTTTACTTTTGAATTAAATATTTATCTTTCCAGAGTATGAATTTCTTTAGGGTATGAAAGGTATTCTAAATATTGATAGGTCTCTAAGGTTTAAATTTCTGCTTTGCACATAGAAGACTGTCAATAATTATCTGTGAGTACAAAAATGAGGCAATATTACACTTATTTTGTAATCACCACTTCTATGAACATTATTGAAAAATATGAACCTAAGTTCCTGTGACTTCAGATATTAAAATTAAAGAACACCAATTAATATGGGCAAGGAAAAAATGTTCTCTTCCAATCAACTTCCCATGGTCTTTAAGTACCATCAAGGCAATCTCTTACTGAGTTTGGATGTGTAAGTTGCCTGTTTGCCACTTACCAGTAGATGGCCTAATTATTCCATCATTCACCAAGCATTGAAACTATTCATAAGGAAAGCAACTGATGAAGACTAACTTTCCCTTTGAGATTTTTTTAAAAGCAGCCAATATTTGAGTGAAATTTTTTGTCTTTAAAAAGAGCCAATGTTTAGTATTTCCCATCACTTTTCGTCAGATTAAACAATTGAATAGAGATGCTGATCTTAATATAGCCTAGAGTAATCAATAAGGAAAGATTATACTATTTTTTTTATATATGTACCAAGTCACCTCGGAAGATTCATAGAGGTGACACACTAATATCATTGCCTCAGGGATGAATTGATTCATCAGCATCTGCAAGGAAATGAGCCTCTCTATTTTCCTCTGGACAGTCTCTGCATGTCATTTAAAATATTATTCATATTTACATGACTTTACCAACTTTCCTGAGAGCCAATGTAAAAGAGCTATGACGTTTAGACTCAGTTTACTGGCAACAGATTTTCTCAGCATTCTGAGGTTGTTTAATGATTCTATAATTTATCTCTAAGGCAAATGTGTTCTTTCATGTGAAAGCATGTCCAATTTGCTCTGTAGTGGCACTGTGCAGTAGGTATCATGCACAAAGAAGAAAAAGAGAAGTAACCAAGTATTGAAACAGCAAATATTTCATTTGGGTTAACTCAATTTAATAATGTTCTGGGTGATATTTTTATTTTAGTAGGCCTAACAAAGTAAAATAAATTCTATTATTTATTATTTACTTCTTTAAACATTACTTATCTCTTTGAGCTTCTTAGTATTCAGTTATTTTACCCTATTCAAATGTCATGATTATAAATCTCATAGGGTCCTTATTTATTTTATCAGTGTTCATATACTGACTACCAGTATCAGTGTTTGGAATATGAAATAATCTATTCAAAATTTATGTTCTGTATGAATCTTATTCTGAGCACCTTTTTCTGAGATAAGCTAATGGGAAAGAATAATGAAGTTTGATGTAATGATTAGTAGTTACAACTTTGGGCCATTTAGAAATGTAAGATGATTTATCAAATTACTTTTCAAAAAACTGTCTCATATTTTCTTGTTTTTACGCTAAATAACTCACTCCCTCTGAGGTTGGATCAGTTACACAAGGTGAGGGGAAGATTATTATTGACAAAAAACAATGACCAGTTCTGAATCCAAAAATAACATCACACACACACACACACACACACACACACACACACACACACACACGAGTAAAGAAAATGAGGAAACAGGAAAAGAGGGCAAGTAGATTCAGAGGTTCTGTGTAGCTCTACATTGATAATCAAATATCGATTGCATGGTGTTTGGCTTATTACTGATGTTCATAAATGTCTCTGGATACCCTAAGAATTACAAAATAAAGTATTTCTAAAAAATTAAAAACATAAGTTTTAAGCAATATGATCATTTTCATCTTTGTTACTTCATTTCTGTTCATGTGTATCATCAACAGAACATTGAAAGAGGAGAAGCAGAATCCTCTAGTCTCGTATGACAGTTTTCTGGTTGGTCTCATAGAAATGTTCGATAGTGTATGGATATGTCTCAGTAATTAGAGAAGAAAATCATTTATGTTTCCCAGTGAAAATACTGTTACTAATCATTGTGACAGTTCACAGTGTTGTTTTACCACTTGCTAAGCAAATCATTTAAAAATTATTAAGCATGAAAATGGTAGTTAAGAATAATAGTTCTGGGGCTGAAGAGATGGCTCGATGGTTAAGAGCATTGGCTCTTCTTCCACGGGACCCTGGTTCAACTCCCAGCACTCACATAACAATTCACAACCTCCAATAACTCCACTTCCAGGGTCTCTAACACCTTCTTCTGAACATTGCAAGCATATGGAGCATAGATACATATGCAGGCCAAACATCTATACACATAACATAGCAAACACTTGAAAGAATAACAGTTGTGTCATTTTAATTCAAATTTTAAAACAAAAACTCTCACATGGAAAGAGTATACTGTCATTAAATATATACCACAATTGATTTTACAGATAAAATGCATGTTTTTGATTGAAAAGCACGTAGTTTTAAACTATGTTTAAAAACTTAGGTCTCTCAAAAAAGTTCAGATTCCCAGATTTGTGAAGAGATGTTTGTTATTGTCAAGCTGACTTTAAAAATGTAAATTCTGTGATTATGCTTCATAATTTTATATTTCATATTCAATCATTTCAGAATATACCTAAAGAGTGACTGCATGGGATTTTTATTTTGCATAGGATTCTTACAAAGTTTCTCCAATGTGTCCATGGGCTTTGCATATTAGCACCAGCAAAAAACGTATGCTAATACTTCTATATCCTTTGCATGTTGATGCCTGTTCCTATCAAAATTTTACTTAAGTGTTTGGAGATACAATGTTTCTATGCTCCATTTATTTGCTATCAACAATGAAGACTGGATTTAGATACTTCACAATAAATTCTATTATTTCATCTAACTCTTACAACATTAAAATGATTACAAAATTATGTAAACAGGAAACCCCTGAAATTTTAGATATTCTAGGTGGTTTAAACTATATTATTAAAAATGACATTTAAAATTTAAATACAATGTTGTACTATTGTTTATACATCACTCACTGATGGATGTGAAGATCCATATGAGAAGAGAGAGAGAAACAGAAATAGAGAATTTACTAGAAGCAAAGCATTTATTATTTTAGACATAAAGTGAATAAAAGAGTACATTTTTGTCAGCTAAGGATTTCCATTCTAGTACATTAAAAAAGCAGATATTAATAGTAATATAAATATATATTACATGATGACAGTAAGTGGGAAAGAAAGACATAACCTGGCTGTACTGAACACTAGCTAAGTGACTTTTCTCAAGAAACTCTCATTTTACACATTTAACATAGTCCCAATATATCTAAAAACCGATGTCATATAGCAAAACTAAAATTATACATATGAAGTGCTTGTGTTGGTGCTTAGTGTACAGCATATCTAGATTAAAGTTGCAGTAAATAATTTTAATTATCAGTCTCAAGAAAATTTTACATAATTGGAGAGGTAGCATGATTATGATGGAGATAGTAGATGCTGATAGAGATCACAGGTAGATGGAGATACTGTTTAAATTGCCAAGATTCAACCTGAAAAATATCTAACTCCTGAGAGCAGATTGAGAAGGGTAGGATTAGCCCTTGGAGAAAGTGACTCTATATTTAGGAAGTCATAAAAATAGGATTTCAATAGGATAATGTTCCAATCCCTAAAAGCTGGGCATTTACCGGCTGAAGAGGCCAATTTAGATGCCAAGATTCTGGTTCAATTATTATTACATCTGCACCTATATCTACAAGACCTTCAATGACAACATCATTTATTTGTATTTTTAATTTTGGTCTTTGTTCATTTATAAAAGTTTGCCAAAAAATTCACTTTATGGTTTCTCCTGAATTTTTTTGTTCTCTCTTCTATAGCTGTTTTATCACCCTGAGCAGTATGGCTTTTTACAATAGGCATTAGGTTCTTTAATTGCTCTAGGAAGGGGTTTCTTCCATGGTAACAGGAAAGGACTGAACTGAACTTGACTTGGGGGCCTGCGAGATACCCCTCAGGGAGTTTCCTGATGGCAAAGGATTACTCTGTTGATCTACATCCTTAGTCCAGTGTCTGCCTTTACCACACCTTCTGCATAATCCAGAAGGGAGGGATATTTTATTGGGATTATTTCTAGCAAAAACATTGACTCTAGGAACACCCTGTTTACACTCCCTTTTTAGGTGACCTTGTTTACTACACTTGAAACATTTGACATTCATTTTTTCTTCAAGCCTCTGGAAATCACCTCTCCTTATCCAAGCATCAACATGATCATGAAATTTAATATTAATTGTATCTCAGATCCATTCTTTCAAGGATGCTGATCTTTCCTTTAATAGCCTAATTACCCTTTTGTCTTGTATTAGCATTTTCAAAAGCCAGAGATTCAAATATTATCTGTTTTGCTTCTGAATTTGGTATCATTCTATTTACTGCTGAAAGACAGCCTTTGTAAGAAATCTGTGAAGGTTTCTTTTGGGCCCTGTAACTTTTGTAAAACTTTTCTTTCCTACTTCTTCAATTCTGACCCAAGCATTCAAGGCTGCCATGTAACATAAATTCAGGGTGTGGTCATCAATTAAAAATTGTCTTTGTATATCAGCATAATTGCCTTCTCCAAGAAGTTGATCTTGGCAAATTTCAATACCTCTAGCCCTATTCCATTGTTCAATGGTCTTAGCCTCATCTTTCCACCAGGTCACGAATTCAATTTTAAGGAAGTAGAGTGTATAAGAGAAATTCAGAGTGAAGGGCAGCCTCAGCCTAAGACAAAAGCAGTATCTTAGAGACAAGGTGACTATTCATTTTTCACCACTGTGGGAGCGTAACCTAAATGTGTGCATCCTGCTGATTAATGGGGATAGTGCTGCTCTTTGTTCCTATAAGTCTAACCTGGAACCCAATGGGTCTTACTACAAGAACTAGGGAAGAACAGGCAGAGAATAATATTGGAACAATATCCAAAAGCAATGCAGGGGCAGAGAGAGCATGTGACACATGGCTATATAATACACAGAGTCCCTGGTTCTCATAGTCACTGAAGGAATTTCCGGTGTGAACAAATTGACTTGTTTAAAAATTTCTGCTTTATTCTCCACAGTTATCAAAGAGGAGAATATCCAAACCACAGATCATCATTAACATAGGTCATCTTTATCCACAGATATCTGCTTGTTGTATCTAAACAGCTTCCATTGTGTGGCATGAGAGAGCCATGAAAAAAATGTGAGTTTGGCTTTAATTCTATCATGTATTAGAAAGTAACTAAAAACCAAGTGTCATAAAGAACAAATGAAATGATGTATCTGAAATTCTTGCCTAAGTGCTCTGTATATATGTCTAGATCAAATTAGAGTAAGTTATTTGAACTATCAGTATCTAGAAAATTCTATCTAATTAGGGAAATAGAAAAAAAAGGTGAGTAGCTATATAGAAAAGTATCATTAAATACCCAAAGTCACATACATATAAAACATATATAAACGTGAATAATTAATAAATTTTAGTTTTTGAGGCAAGATTTCATTCTGTAGCCCAGGCTAGACTCTAACTAATGATCCTCCAGCCTCAGTCTTCCAAGTGCTGGTATTTATTTATTTCTATAACAATTCACATATGGATGCCAACTCTGCAGTTTGTGATATAAGTACCCTGACATGTTATTTAAAGGAGTAACTGTTACATTGGACATTTATGCTTATTACCTTTGTAAACTGTACACATAAGTCAGAAGTAACAGATACAAATTTAAACAAAATTAATTTTTAAGTTATATGCAAGTTTTATTATAAATTATACATTTTTATTACTCTACATATTGAGTAACATGCAGGACACTGGTCTATCAAAAGTACAGTTTCATTCTTAACTCCAACTCTTTAATGAGCATAGGCAAGATATAAACATAGACACATGGATTCATATATGTTTTCTGTTTCCTTTCTGATTAAACCTCAGTCCTTGTCTTCCTTTCTCTCAGTTACTGGACCTCAGCAGAGACATGGAATGCTTTCCAGAACATAGATTTAAATGAGGCGCCTGCTCAGTGGGCTTACAACCTAATTAGACAGAGACAGTTGACCAACATATGCCCACAGACTACAGTTGGCCACTTATTTATTCCCTAATTAACATAAAGCAGCAGGAGGACAAGCCTGCCTGTGCTCGGTGTGCGAGAACGTCTGTGTGCACTGTAGAACTCTGTGGGAAACAAGGCTGCTTCCTCGTTGGGGGCTTTCTGTATGCTTCCTCTGGTTCCTTGCTTGTCTCCATAATTAATATTCCCAGGCATATCTTGCTGAGACTGTATTTGGCCAAGCAAACAGCCCCCGCAGCACAGCGGAACCGTTTGCTTCAGCTGTCGTGTTGATCAGGTCACTGGATGGTGGATTCCAATGTTGTGCATTCAACTCTCTTGAGAAGCTCAGCCAACGAGTGCCAAGTGGCTTCTCTACAATTGAGTAATTTAGTAATTCCAGCTACAGGGATGGTTTCCTCCTAAGAGTTTTCAATTATAAAGGTCATGTGGTTTCTTTCTTCTTGAATCTTCTTTAAGTTTTAAAATTGTTCCCGCTCTGTTTTCAGATGATTCTCAAAAGAACTTGAAGTGAGAGAACTCACAGTGCTCCAGCATTTAAAAAAACAAGTGTACAAGCCTATTATGATTTGAGAAAAAAGTTAATTCTGAAGTGCATGTCAAGGGCTCACAAATACTTGCTTGAAGGCTCTCAAGAAGGTGATAAATGAGGTCGCTTCTCATCAGTTGTTCAGCCATGGAGGAGGAAGCAAACAAGAAAATTATAGTACAGAAAGGTAAGGCTATGATTCCTAAAGCTACAAGCCCAAGCGCCCCTGGGTCTGCCTGTCCATCACTCTTTTTAACATCCTGGTCCGGAAGCGACCTGGGTTTGCCTGTCTGTCATTCTCTTTAACATCTTGTTCACGCTGACTTATTTCATGTTGACTTAACAAGAGGAACCTTGAGTTTCAGTTTTGAGAAAAGGAAAATTTCGCGGCTTTAGAGCCCTGGGTTCTTTTATCTCTTTGGTATAGTCCTCCCCTTATCATTTACTATTTCTAAATAAGAAAACAACGTAAACATTGGCAAGTAGAAGTTTATTCAATATCTTTTTTTTTTTTTTTTTTTTTTTTTCTGAGCTAGGATCATGCTATGCAGACTAAGCTGGCTTTGAGCTTCCAGTGAGTCTCCTGCCTCAGGCTCCCAAGGATTGGGATTACAAACATGAGCTACCATACTTAGATGAGTGTTTTAACTGTTTAGTGTCAGTGTTTTAAAAATCACATTGAGTGTTGGCTGACATCACCACACCACTGTGCAGTAGACAGGAAAACAACACCGTAAACACTACACAATTAAATTCCGAAGGCAGCAGCTTAATACGCACCTATGCACTGCTTTAATACTAATTCTGAGTCTGCAGACTTACTGCCTTGATTATGAAATAAGAAATAATAGGCAGTTTTATTCAAAGAATTTTAAAATAAACTTTTAGACTTAATGAGATAAAAATGGGCCTGCCTTCACAAGTCAAGTGAAAAACAAAGGTCTGAATCAAAATACCAAAAATGAAACAGAACTCTATATAACAGTCATTTGTAGAACAGAGAGTTCTAGCAATGACAGTACTATTGTTTTATTTGGTTGAGTTTTTATAATTAGATTAGTCATATTTTAGTGTTTGAGTGTTATTTAAATATGTTCTTGATCTTCAACTCTCCTCAGAAATAAAAAGAAAGAAATGTTTATTGTAGATCGTTAGCTTCAGTCCTGTCTCAATGCTCATCTGGCCATGTGCACTTCAACGAAACATGTAGCAAAAGAAGTTTCTTTCATTTCAATGTAAATCTTTACATTTGGAAATTTAATGCAATTTGTTCTTATTCTTCACCCTCCTCTCCCATGTTCATCATGAAAATTTCCTGCAGTGAAACAGGAAATCCACCCAAGTTGATCTAACCTCAGGGCCTCCTCCAAGCATGCTGGAGAATCAGGACTTTGTCACCTCCGAGGATAGAATACATTTGGATTCTGAAGTCACTTGCCTCTAGGACTTGGGCACTAATTTGTTTACTGACTGACTTATTTTAACTTAATATGATATATATGTCCCTTATTACAGTTTTGAAATTGATATTTAAAAAAATCTAAATAAATTAAAACTCTTCAAGGAATAAGTTGACCCTCCCACATAATGAAATAGTTAACTTAAAACTACAGAGTAAATGTTAAATCAAAGTTAGGAAGCATAGTTTAAAAAGTAATTGTAACAACTTGATTCCTAAAATGTAACTGATATACATTTCCTAAGAAATAGCTATTTGCATATAGTTACAGCTATAAGCAAACCAGTCCAATAAAAAATATCATACTTGTGTCGGCATCTGTAAGATGTGGTTGTTTGGGTAGCACTTAATAGGTAGAAGCAAAATTTCTGGGTGCCTGCCAGCTGGCCAGCTGTCTACATTACCCATGGAGAATCAGAACAACGGGATCTTTGGCACATCCAATTACGACGAACAACCTCTAACCCTGTTTTAGGTTACAGCAGCAGATAACATTACCAAAAGGCTGCATTAATTGATTTAGTTTTGAGAAATTGGGGAATTTGAAGATATGCATGAGAATATCTCTCCTAGAGCATGTAGGAAAAACATGGGTGGATTAAATAAGGATTCCGTTTCCTCACAGATGCTCTGTTCAGCATTAAGAGGGGTATAATTATAAGGCAGTCTTTGCTGTCTATGTCATAAAAAACAAGACATTAAATGAGATGTTTGTCACAAATATCTCTAAAAGACAGTGAAAGTTTTGTTACTGGAATGTGGGGATGGGTAGTTCTTCGTGTGGAAACCAGGTAAGCTTGTCCTGAGAGGACCATCATCTGTGTTGAGTCTCATGGACAGACCTCCTGCTTTTGAGAGAATGGAGTCAAGATTGAAGGGTTTGCTGGCTATAGGGTCAGGTAGACTAGAATTAGTGAGGTAATTTAGAGAACTGGAGGAAACTATGTATCATCTGACAACTACACTTGGCCCCAATAAATACGTTGTCTTTGGTATTTTCTTTAGAAATCTAGAGTGATGTCATACAGAACCAGGAACAGATTTTAAGTTAAAGAGTTATAATGTGACACCATGGTAGGAAAGCATATTTAGAAATACCTGGGAGAAATTTCTTGAATAAGACAGTGGGGAGGGCACACTGTCTTTATACTGTGAATGGGGAAGGAACACCACAAAGTTAAGATAGATGGGAAATACAGACATGGGTCAATGAACAGTGAGGATACATGCTGAGAAAAGAGGCATTGCACAATTTGTTCTGTAAACACCACAGACCAAGATGGGGCATCCTAGTACATACCTAGGCAATGAGAAGTTCACTTCTGTATACATGTGTATAACCTATTACTCTTAGGGCCATGTAAAACAAAACAACATGATAGTCAATACAATATAAGAGAAATGGTATCATCAAGAGGAGATAGACATGAGATGAACAAGACTGCTGCTCACGTAATATAGCACAGTATTTTATAGTAAACATTTTTATAAGTAGAAGAGTATACCTGAATAATGATTAAAAATAAATACATAGGAAATACACGAACCTGAAACACCACTTACTATTATCAAGTGCTCTTATGACCTATGCCTATATGTAACTCACACTGCAGTAGGTCTGCTTCACCACAAGTATGTGAATAATGCTGTGTCCTGACATGATGCCCATTATAATCTTATAGAACCCCCATTTTAAGCATGTACCTTGACCATGGCACTGTTTTCCAGTACAGGATTGCAGTCCATTTTAACGAAGGCAAAGGGAACAAAGGAAACCTCAAGATGATTTTAATGTATCTTATCTATAAATAAGGTATTCATCACCCTGTTTTCTTTTTAAATCTATGTCAAAATTTGCATGCATACATGGGTGTGCCAAAAGCCTATCAACACAGAGCAATTGCCACATAAAATATAACTCTGTCCTTTTCCAAAATACTGCTAAAATGACAACAAAACAATCAAATTAAGCAAACCCACTAAAACAAAAAGTAGCTGAAGTGAGAACTGGGTTTGAAGGAAGGAAAACAGTGATTATTGAGACATTCAACACACTGACATGGCGGTCTCTGTGCATATGAGGATGCTTAGTTAGCTTCATGGTCTGTGGAAGATCTGAGGCTTAAGGCATTCAGCTGATGGGGTGGCATGAAGTCACTGAATACCTATGTGATTGTTGTAGTATGACTAAATGTTTTCCCCTCATTTTAAAAGTCTGGACATAGCCATACCTTTAGTAGGCTCATTGTATCTGAGAATCACCTGGCTAAAGCCATGAGAAATTCATTATATCACTTTTGGTCTGAGGCAGTAGTAACTATAACAAGCTTCTGGGGTCTTTCTTTTCTCTCCGGAAGAATGACAATAAGATTTAAATACAAATGTTCCATCTTCATGAGCTCTTAAGTGATGGGGAGACATGGGATTTAACCAGCAGTAGACATGAATCATCATTAAAGAATTAAATATTTTATTTTATTTTTGAAAGTATATAAAATGCAATTGCATTATTTTGCTTTTCTTTTCTTCCCTCCATTCCTTCCCTTATACTCCTCCTCAATCTCTTAAATTTATAACTTCTTTTTTCATTGATTGTTGTTACATCCACATATGTATATACATATATTTCTAAAAATGATGTGCTCAGTCTACATAATATAGTCTCATCAATATGACTGCCAAAAGATGAGCTGAACAAGAATAACAATAGACATGCCAAAGTGGTCAGGAGACTGACCATGAGACTTACGTTGTTTTAACGTGGAAGATCTATAGACTTGCCTGTTGGTGTGGCAAAAACAGATTCAGGCTTTATGGACACAATCTATAGTGGAACTGATAATGCAACCTCACTTCTCACTACCTAGAAATATCCCTCATCCCTGGTTTTCTATAGGAATGGAATTTGAGGTAATTTTGATTTTATGCTGTTATAACAGAAAGTTTGTAATTAGTTAAAAGACTAAAATAAATGTTTACATAAAATACAATACATAGAAAGTGGAATAAGAAGTCTTTCACTACCTGAAAATGAGAAGAGTGTCCCATAGAGTGTATTTGCCAGGGAAGAATTTAGAGTATTCTGTGCAGAATCTGATGAGCCTCAGAGACAGACCAATAGATACTGATAACACAAATTGACATAGTAAAAACATAAGCACATCTTTCTTGTGCTGTAACAATGTATCCTCATTTACCTTTTATACATTAAGCTATGGTTAACTCAATGATAAGGAAGTAACTCAGTAAAATTTACATTAAAATAAAAACAATATAAAAATATAAAAATAAATGGCCATTGTAAGATCAGATAATATTTTCTGAAAAGTTTTTCAGTATAATTATATGTGTTTCTTTGTTTATGTGATGTATATGTTAAGGTATAACTCAAAGTATACTGATTACTAGGATTTCTGTGTCTAGAAAATAAAAATCCGAGCTAGTTATGTAGAATTGACTTGGAACTTATAAGATACATTAATAAAGTTGCTATTGGGCTGGAGAGATAGCTCAGTGGTTAAGAGCACTGGCTGCTCCTCCAGAGAACCTGGGTTCAATATCCAGCACCCACATGGCAGCTCATAGCTGTCTGTAATTCCAGTCCCAGGGGATCTGACACCATCTTCTGATCTCTGTGGACATTGAATGCACCACATGCTCAGATATATATATTTAAGGGAAACATTCATACACATAAAATAAAAATAAATAAAAAATTTAAAATAATT